GTGAATTAAGGTCAGATTAAACATGTAAATCACAGATTGCTTGGGTTATCTGTTGAAACTCATCTCTCCAACCTCTGACGGCCCTGCAGAGTAGGATCCTTAGGGAGCACAAACTGCAATCAAGTCCCATCCTTGTGCTGCAAGTAGACTGCTCTGACTTCCCCAGGAACAGAGCTGTTGATGTCTTCTGGGCTGACTGCAGGTGCACCTGGGTTGACCTGTAGAGCTAATTTTAGGAAAATCAATGAGCAGGGTGAGACTATCAACTGGTGTGCAGTGCAGGTACCTCAGGCTTCTTTTGCATTGTCTTAGGCAGCTCTGTGGTCTTAGGCAGGTGCATTCTGTTCCCTGTTCCTGTATTTTCTTGTAAGCACCTTGAGCTCTCTCTAGATCTCAGATTCTATAGCCTTTCACAAGAGCCCAGCTTTCATAAGAGCCTAGCCTATACAAGGCACCCTAGTGAGAAGAAAGAGATTGTAAATTGCAGGAAGCCTCCATCATTATCTTTATATCTTGACCAATGTGCTCTTTGATTAACAAGTTTAGAAATTATGAGGAAATAAATACTTTCTTCTTTTAGCTTTGCCATACATTTAGCAGGAGGCTCACGTTTGGTGTGTGAAGCACAAATTAGTGGTCATTGAAGAGATTAAGGTAATAATTTAAACTTTCCTGTCAAAAATCTGTTTCTTCCTTGTGTGTTTCTTTTAATATTTTGAGTAGTAATTGAATTATCTCCTCCTAATTTTTGCCTGCGCGCTCTTTAGGTGGGTAAACCTTGATAAAATGAGCCTGTTGTTGTATTTCTTTGGGTTTGTCTTTTTTAGTGGTGATACTTTTTTAATGAGCCATGTTTATTCATTTTTCGTTTAGTTTAGAATCACAGAGTCTGGGAATACAGCTCAGTGGGAGAACACTTGCCCACTATGTGCAAGTCCCTGGGTTTGCTTCCTAGCACCCCCATCCCCAAATCTAACATCTAAGCAAGGGAAACATTGCCAATTTGCTTATGCAGCCTTAGAAAAATCTATCTTTTGATGAGGTGGGAAAGACACTAAGTTGGAGACAGATCCAATGGATTACCTCTTTATTTCTCATTGGGAACTGCACAACACTACTTTTCTCTTCAATCGAAAGTTGGGTGTTTTTCTGATAGTTTAGTTCAGCCCTTGGCACATGAGTATTCAATAATTATTTTAAAATTAATGCTGTGGAACGGCCTCATGATTCAGCAGTCATGGCATAAACTGAATTAGTCTGCAGAAGAAAAGCAGTATTTGTTCCAGAAGAAAGAATAGGGAATTCTTTTAAAATACATAAAACATGGGCACTAGCTTTTTGAATATTTGAGAGTAATTGGAAATCTTTGTCACTTATGCTTGAGTGTCATTAGGCATTATTGGCACATTTGCTGTTTAAGGGAATAGAATTATATTTACAGGGGATTTATAGTTTTCAGAAAACTTTCTGAGATCTTATCTAATTAATCCCTATAGCAACCCTGTGAGGCAGGTTGGAAAGATATTGTTATCTCCACTTTGCAGAGGAGCAAGCAAATGGTAGAAAAAAGAGAAGGGGTTTTCCTAGTGCCACACAGCTCATGTGTATGACAGAGTGGTGAGAATAGAAATTAGTTTTTCTATTGATCAGTTCAGGGATCTTCCTATTGTATAAATCCTTAATCTCTAGGAAAGAACCTGTTTTAATTCCCTTTTCCTTGTGTGAAAGCTTCACATTTATGAAGGTGCTCCTTTTCAGATGCCTTCTGTGAATATTCTAGCACCATCGATCTTACTTGCCTCCTCTCTTTATTTTTATTTCTAAAATGTTTTCCCTGCAGGAGTGAACTCTTTCTTCTCCCTAATTAACTTTTATGCGGAAGCTCCTATCATAATGAAATCACACATGTGCATATTTGCTTGCCTGGTTTTCTTTTTAATGAACCTGGAGGGAAAAACGGTTTTTCTGCCTCCTCACCCCAAATTATCTTTGCTGAGGGAGGAGTCTGTAAGAACTAAGATAGCTGCCTTCCTGAGAGTCAACCTTTTTATCAAACATTGCTTGGTATAGGCACTGCTTTGATATTTACAGAGGCCACCGGTTGTTGATAATTAAAATGCATTGGTTCGTGATATCAGCAGCAAAGCAGTGTGGGCATAGAATCAGTCTGTGGAGGCAGGCAGATCAGTTTTGAATTGTGGGGTTGCTATTTACTGGACAATTGATTTCACTTTCTGGAGCCAATTTCCTCTTTTGTGTAATGGGGATAATATATTAGCAATCTCTATGTCATAAGGTTATTGAGACGATTAAAGAAAAATGACAAGTACTTTTCTTATGAAGAATTGGGTAGCAGTAAATGCAGCACTCTTGCTAGACTGCAGATCGGATTTGTGTGGCACATCATCTGTTTCCCCTGCAGCTCCCTACTCTGCCTGGCTCTACCCTAGGAGGCTCTGCCCTGGAAGGCTGGCCAGGAAGGGGGACAGCAGGGCTTCCTTTGCCCTTTGACTCAGTTGCATTTGCCTATTGGAGAGTCCTGGCAGATCTGAGGGGGGCTGATAAGGTCCTGTGCTCCCCTCATCTCCTTCCCTTCAGGGCTGCCTGGGGCTGTGTCCCAGAGAGTGACCTCCCCTGTCAAAGCAGCCACTCTGCATGATCCTTTATTGTGAGATATTGGCCACCCATCCCTCTGCCAGCCACACCACACCACTGCCAGCTGCAAGTGCGTCACTCTTCTTGGTGGCGTCTTCTACCCTATCAAAGCTTCTTAAATGATTTTTACTAAACTCTGCTAAAATGACCCTAACCCTGTATGGTTTTTATTAATGGAAGCCTAATTGATATTTGCTGCATTAGTACTTAGTTGAAAGTATATTTGCCATAAATTTGTTATATTTAAGGGAACTTAGCACCTTTAGGCAAAAAAAAAAAAACAAAAAACAATGTCTTGGGTTTTTTTGGTTGTTGTTGCTGTTGCTTGACAGTGGATACCAGGATGATGGTGATGAGAGCCAAATAGTTTTCTGTACTCATCACCTCACTTAAGCTCAAAACATCTGTGTGTTATTGTCTTCCTTTAATTCAGAGAGATTAAGTAACTTACCTGAGGCTACACAGAATGCCAGTGGAGAGCTATTTGACTGGAACGTGCATACTCAATCCCGGATGCCAGCCTGCCTTGTAGGTATTCAGACAGAGAAAGGACATCTCACTGGCATTCAGTTTTCAATTAAATTGATTTTCCTATTCAAATTTTTATAGGTTCTAAATTCCTGTAGAAAAGTATCTCTTAATGATGGTTTTTAAAGGCATTCAAGGGATACTTATCAAAGACTTTATTAATTCAGCAAGCTATATCAGGTCAAATCCCTTCTTTCTCTGATTTGATAATTTAAAACCATTGAGTCACTAGCTCACTACAGGCCCCTAAGGATACTCATTATGCACCCAATGAATAATTACATATTTTGAATGAGTTTTTCTCTGATGCTATGTCAGCTTACCACAGTAGCTACTTTTTCTCCTTATAAATAACACATTAGTTCATAGATTATATTATTTCTGTTCACTTCTTACATGAAATAAATAACAAAGTTCCACATTTTCTGGGAACTTATAAAACACTCAGCATTATAACTAATCTGTAAAGGTGGCTAAATTCCTGGAGGTGTACTGGCTGAGAACATTCTCTTTGTGAATTAGCTCCTCTTTCTAAACCCTACTTTCTTTTAAAAAATCCATACATACTCAAGGAAACAGTATCTTCCCTTGTAACTCACATTTTGATTGTACATTTTTCTCTAACTTTGAAGCCAATATTTTCAGGAAGCTTGGAAGAAGGTTTTGTCTTTACCCTTTGTGTGCTTAAGTTGCATCTAGAGATATTCAACAAAAATAAACTCTATTTCTGTTTCTAATCGCACTTTTCTGTTGGGGGATCTCTGGGTCCCCCCACCCCCCAAAATATTTCCTGGTGATTTCCAGAAGTCTTGAAAGGATGACTCATATATGGTCAAAACAAGGGTTTTCAGCCATGATAGAGTGCCACTGCAGGTCACTGGAGAGCTTGCTGAAGTGTCTCTTTATGGTTCTGTGGCTGCTATGTTCCATGATGCTGATGGCCAGCCTCCCACTGTTCTAAGTCTGTTTGCCTCATCCTTTTCCTTTAGAGGAAGTTCTTTCCCACAAGGCATTTCAGCCCACAAATATACCCTATGAATATGCAAGTCATATCCAGCTGTAGCAGAATATCAGAAATGAACACAATGTTTGTAGCTATTCCATTTGCTTTTTTCTCAAAACAGTTTCCTTCCTACAGTCTAGTGGAAGGTGAAGGTTAGGTAATGAGGCTATCAATGTCATACAAGTGACAACTACTCTGAGACATTCTTGAAATAACAGTTTTAGTGCTTAACTGTATAAACTGCTCTCAACTTTTCTCAACATTCCTTACAAGTTGTTTGAACTAAAGGGTAGAGAACTTACTGAATTGCGTGACGAGCCCCTGGTGTGGCTTCCTAATGCTGTGGATTAATGCTAAAGAAACAAGGGCCAGGATGAGTGCTCCAGCTCTTCCTTTCCAGTGGAGCTGAGACCCTCTCAGTGGTGGATAAGCCTTCCCAAGTGATCCCTCCATGGAAAACTGAGGGGTCACCAGCTGTCCCAGCAAAGATCAGCTCACAACACAAGTTGGCTGCCTCATCCTTTCATATATGTAACTAGGTTGTGGCTACCATACCTGTCTTTTTCAAACACCAAAAAAGTAGACTTGAATATTTAATGGAAAACAGATGGTGGCTGAAGTCTCTAACTTACATTTAACAGTCACTGTTTTGGAAATGTTGCTTGTGTGTATTTCTCTGCCTTTAAGCACATCACCATTTTAGACTGTTTTGATGAAGTATTTAAGAATTTACTGTCCTAGTCTAAGACAGCATTCAAAGTGCACATGTTAATCATGTACTCGATTAAACATTTCCTTGCCTTTTTTTCTTCAGCATTCCAATTGGCTTTTGAGTGGATAATTGTTGCAGAGAGAGAATTCACTTTGGAAACAACTAGTGACTGTTTGAACTACTTAAAACACGACCATGGAAAGAAATACGTGTGATTTGCTTTCTCGGAGCAAAAGTGTAAGTAACTTTTATTTTCATTTCTTTTCTAAAAATCTGTACATGTAATTTTTTATTATTCTCTTTGGATTTTGATAACTGTTATCATGATTAGGCTTGTAAATCTTTGGTTAACTTTCACTTCTCTAGCTCTATGCAATTATTAGTAAATGAAGACTTGTTTGTCTATGTGACCTGATGGACATTTGATGGGAATTCTCTTTCATTCAATTTCTATGCTTCCTCATTCATTCATATAAGCTTATTGATATAATATCAAATACCCTGACTGTTACATGTAAGCAATAAATGTATGCTTAACAATTGAAAATGAAAAAAATTTTTGTCTGGAATATCAAATGTTCTGGGAAAGTCTTCCAAAAATGTGGATTGAAGTTATGTGACTACTACTTCAAACAGTCACATTCTGAAAGTTTATCTTTTTCATAGATTTCTACCCTGGCATATCTTGAATTTCTCCATTTAATCATTCTTTTCAACAATTTTAAGTGAACACACTCTGGCTTCTGATGATGGTTAAGCCTTTTTTTTTCAAATTACTAAGTACTCTTAAGGTACCAAATTTATGATCATTTTTAGTTTTTTTTTAGCTTATGAAAGAAAGGATAAGCAAATAGAGTGATTCTAAGGAAATGGCACATGGAAGGGATGAAAGAAGATTGTTAATTTCTATTAGGCGAGCTCTAAGAACATATCCTTTTGTCCATTTACCCAAAGGGGAAAGGCATCCAAACAGATGTGGTTGTGACGTAGGAACATTCATTTGAAGGCCTCAGAAAAACCACAAATGCAAACACATTTCCCCAGTATGGGAACACTTTGTGTAATACCCAGTGATTCTATTATGATGGCTCAAGGCCATCATTCATTCTTTCTGTAGAATTACTATTTAGCTTTTAAGTGTGAAATATGAGTATGTGGACAGGAAAATACAGTAAGTTCAATAAGGTTTCCTGAAAAATGAGGATATATTTAGAAGTATGCCAGAACTTTGAGCACTGTGTTTAAATAACCAACCAACTAAATTAAAAAAAAACCCTGAATGTTCAAACTCATTTGTTTTATTAGTTTGTGTTTAGTTGTATAGATTTTCATAAACTAAAATGCCAGAGCTTTGAGCTTGGAATTCCTTTCATCATCATATAGAAAGTTGCTCATTGTAATAGGTAAGATGCATTAAAATTACCAAACTGTTGTGGGGAGAAAGGAACCCTTCTCCATTGTTGGTGGGAGTGCAGACTGGTGCAACCACTGTGGAAATCAATATGGAGATACCTCAAAGAACTAGGACTAGAGGTCCCATTTGACCCAGCTATTCCCCTGCTGGGTATCTTCCCAAAATAATTAAAAGAATCATACCACAGCGATATATGTGCACCCATGTTTATAGCGGCACAGTTTGTAATAGCTAAAGCTTGGAAACAGCCCAAATGCCCATCAACTGGGAACTGGATAAAGAAGATGTGTTGTTTTTTATTTTTTTAAATAAAGTGGAGTACTACTCAGCCATAAAGAATGAGAAACTAGAGTCATTTATAGCTAAATGGATGCATATTGAGGCGATACTCTTAAGTGAAAGAAATAGGACACACATGTGTAAATACCAAATGGTTTCTCTAGTATGAGAAACTAAAAGTGTAAATAAGGGCTAATATAATTAAAATGAATAATTGATAATTTGAAATAGGGAAAAAGTCCAAAGGGGTAGGGGAGATGGGAGGGGAAGGGGAAAGGAAAGAAGGGAAAGGAAAAATTATGAGAAAAGAAAAAAAAACAGAAATGAAGTCTATGTAAATAGGGAAGGGTGGAGGGGGTGAAGGGCGCACAGGTAATGGGGAAAAAATAAGAACCAAGATACATCATGTACAGGTACAAGCACCCAATGATAAATGTAAATGTATTGTTTACCTAAAATGCACCAATAAAAGAACTTAAGAATAAAAAAAAAGTACCAAACTGCAAACAAGTCTGTTTCTGAGGTTTCTTACTGTAATTTAAATATGAAAGCAAACCATTAACATAACGCTTCCCTCTTTTATTGAATTTCAGAGACATGTGGTATGAGAAATATGTGCAAAGGCAAAAGGGAGACTATTTTGGGTAATTAAAATATATCATAAAACATTTCCCTATTCTTGGAGGGAAACATTGTAAAAGAAAATGATTAACTGAGCTGTGATTTTAAGGAACTCCCAGTACTTAATGATGCTCCAAGATTTCCTATTTATATTTGTTTAATGCAAAATATTTCATCTTGGTGGAAAGGTTGATTAAAGGTTGATGCTCAGATTAAGAGTCTGAGTTGCCTAGATTTGTTCAAAAGTAGGCAGTAAAGTTCACATTTCATTGCTTCCTAGCTTCTTCAAAATCCACTGACATAAAGAAAGTGCTTCTGCTTAAGTAAATGTCTCTAAGCAGGAGACTACTCGTTACCAGAGAAACGACCTGGACTTTTTGCTTGGTTAGCAGGTGTCACTCCAGGGCTTCAAAAGTTTATTTTGCATTGGTCATTAATGTCAAAACCACCCCCACCGCACCACTTAAAGTCTTTTTCATAATAGAACTCAAAATTGTACACTTGGAAGTAGATGTTTCCTGCTTTTGTTGAGGAAAGTTTAGATAACTGATTTAATTTAGAATCTGAGAATATTTTCTTTGGCATTATGACATTTGAAAATTCAGGGAATGTTTTAAATTAAATGTTAAAATGTTTCAGTTCCAAGCTACATGTTACTCTGTAGGTCTTGTACTTGTCACTGTGAATTAAGGCATATAAAAGAGGAGGGAAACAAGACTAACTTTACACATTTATTTTGTTAATAAGAGAGTTCCAGTGTAGTTTGCAGCACTATTTAGGCCCTCTGTATTATATAGAACATTCAGGCATATCATAGGTAGTTAAACTAGGTGAGAGTTCTACTTACATCAGCTTTTAGCCTCTATGATTCTAGGTTATATTGTGCTCATTCATATATTAAATTGAACATTAATTCTCAAATAAATACAAAATCAAGGTATTGAAGAAAAAGTATATTAATTTTCTCAGGTTCTCATTATGAAATACTATAGAGTAAGTGGCTTAACCAGAGCTCTATTTTCTTAAAATTTTATAGACTAGCAAGGCAGCAAGGCTAAGATCAAGGAGTTAACCTTTTCAGTTCCTGGTAAGGGCTCTCAGAGAGTGGGGGTGGGGGATAAGAGGAGGAAGAAGAAGAGGAGGAGAAGAAGAAGAAAAAGAAGAGAAGAGAGGATATGACAGGAGTGGAGAGGGAGAGAGAGGAAAGTAGGGTGGGAAAAAGGACAAGAAGAGAGAAGAAGGGGGGGGGACCGAGAGAAAAAGAGAGCGAAAGAGACCTCTCTGAAGTTGCTTTTTATTACCTATTTCCATCCTGTGGATCCTGTCTCCGTGACTTCACCTAACCCTACCTACTGCCCAAAGAACCCACGTCCAAATAGAATCACACCAGGAGTTAGAGTCTCGACGTAAGAATTTAGATGAGACACAAACATTTAGCCTATAACACAGTTTGATATTCTTAAGGAATGATTTCCATAAATCACTGTGATATTTAAGTCCAAAGGATGATAACCAGTACTGTGAAATCAGCCTATGAGGTATGATTGAAAAAAATAGTTCATGTTTGAAAAAATTTTAAATCTATTACAATAAAATACAGCTTGCATTAATTCTCCTCTAAATTAATTCTCCTTGTCACTTCAAATACCCTTATCCTTCTTGCTACTTTTTGAAGAAGTTATGGAAGTCCTGTTTCATGTCTTTAGTTGGACTCTTACTTTTTTTTTGGTACTGGGAATCGAACTTGGGTCCTTGTGCTTGCGCAGCAGGCGGCGAAACCACTGAGGTAAATCCCCGGCCCTTTAGTTGCACTCGTGTAGCTGCTTCAATGTACTGGATTGATTCAAAAGTTTACTTTTCATAGTTATTTTGACTTTGGTGAAAAATCAGAAATTGCATGGTGCCACATCCAATGAATAAGGTGGTTGAGGATACACAGTGACGTTTTTATGAGCCTGTTTTTCTGTTAGATGGAACTCAACAGCAACAGTCCCTGTACTTTTTTTTTTTCTTTTTCGGCACCGCGGATCAAACTTGGGACCTTGTGCTTGCAAGGCAGGCGCCAGAACCACTGAGCTAAATCCCTGGCCTGTACTTTTGATCATACTTCCTAAAGATACTCATAAAGGAGGACTTCCAGAACTGCTTCAGAAAGTGGAAAAAACTATGGGGTGTGTGCAGAGCAGGTGGGAGTATTCTGGTGCATTTAATGACAATGGATGCTTTAATTTTGCTTTGATTTAAACATTCACTGTATATATGTTGATCACATATATGTTGATCAGATACACTGTACTCTCAGTTGGGCAACCCTGAAAGTGATCTGGTTAAATCTTTGTTTATTTTCTAGAGTTTATGTTAGGAGGACTCTTCATAATGATTTTTGAGTTTCTCACCATCTCTTCATAGACCTAGAAGCTCATTGTAATTTTACTTAAAATTATTTTTCCCTTTCTTTATTATTCTTGCTTTGCTTATTTCATATTGTTTGTTCTTAGCATGTGATACGATGATGTGGGTCTCTGAAGTACCTTGTCTGGTCACTGGATTTACCATTGAGCTAATTTTTCAGAGGCTTGTAAATGTCAAACTTGACAATCTGAGTTGCTCCATTTGCTGCATCAACCAGCACCCCCTGCCTTTTGGCTAATCAGGAGAAGGAAAGAAAGGTACAGATGAGGGGGCCAGATATAAAATTTTCCACAGTACTGGTATATTGTAGAATCAGGGTTATTTAAAAAAAAAATTAAACCATGGATTCTTACAATATCTCGTGTTATTTGAACTCATGAATTTTTATAAATCTCATCTGGTGTATGAACTGCATAAGTTTTAATTCATCATTAATCAGTTCTCTTATGTATTGAATTATAATATATCTTGTAGGATTTTACATTTAATTCTCAGTTTCTCAGTACCCTGA